TAACTCACCCATTCTTAATCCGCATTCTTCAACTTTCAAATTTTGCAAACAACTGTCCATATATAGGTTGAACAGCCACGGGGAAGCCACACAGCCCTGTCTGACACCTTTATGGATGTCAAACCAGTCCGAGTAGACCCCGTTGATTCTAACACAAGCACTAGAGTCCCTATAAAGAGACTCCAATGCCTGTATCAAGCCCGCGCTCAACCCAAATGAGTTCAGTGTTTGCCATAGCAAATCCCTATCCACTCTGTCATAGGCCTTTTCCAAGTCCATGAACGCACAAAAAACCTTTTGGTTTTTGGCCAGAAACTTCTCCGCGATCATGCGCATGGAAAAGACTTGATCTGTACATCCCATTCTCTTTCTAAATCCCGCTTGCACATCCCAAATTTTTCCATCAGTTTCTTTCATGACTCTTTCAATCAGTACCTTAGCATACAGTTTTCCCACAATGCTAAGAAGGCTGATGCCACGGTAGTTTTTACAGTCCTGCTGCGACCCTCTTCCTTTATATACTGGGACTATCACGGCTTTGCACCAGTCTACCGGTACCCGCTTCAGTTCCTAGCATAAATTAAACAAGGTGTGCAGCAGGCCTGCCACCACTTACTTTGCAGCCCTTAGCATTTCGAGTGAAACTCTTTCATATCCGGCAGCCTTACCTGCTTTCATGCTTTTCATTGCTTTCATTATTTCATCTATACTTATCTCGCTACCTCTTTCCTCTTCTTTCGGTGTTTCTACTTCACTTAGTACACACGTTGTCTCCTCACTCATAAACACGCTTTCAAAATATTCCTTCCATCTCTTTAAACTCAAAACTTCATTATTCAGAATATAGCCATTCTCGTCTCTTATAGCATTCATCATAGGCTGTTTTGAATGTCCCCTGGCAGTTCTTACAAGTTTCCAGAACATTTTAATATTTGCCTGGAAGTTATCCGATATTCTTCTATCATTCTTATCCGTTCTTTCTTGCTTTTTCTTTCAACTACTTCTTTTACTCTTTTATTAAGATGTCTAAAAACTGCCTGTTTTCTTTCAATATCACCATTCGTACCACTAGAATTAGCAGCCTTTGTTGCTAGTAAATCTAGCCATGCTCTCTTCTTTGCTTCAACTTCCATACGTATCTCATCATCCCACCATAATGTATTATTTTTCCTTTCATTCTTTCTCTTACTAACACCACATACTTCGGTAGCTGCGTCCACTAAACCTTTCTTTATATTTTGCCATATATTTTCCAAGTCTAACTCCTTCATACATAATTCATCCAAACCACTTATATTTTCTTTCAGTCTACATTTGAACTTGTTTTTATCACTTTCATCTTGTAACTTTTCTGTTCTAATACGCTGTAACGCAGTGGTAGACACAGACGATCGATGGCACCAACGCCTGAATAGACCATTAATTCGGCATAAAACTAAATAATGATCCGTTCCTACGTTAGAACCCCGGTAAACTCTTGTATCTACCACTGCGTCCTTCAATCTTTCATCCACAATTATGAAATCTATCATGCTTCTATCGTCACCTCTTTCCCAAGTATACATGTGAATCCTCTTGTGGCGAAAGCAAGTGTTCGTCACAAAAAGATTCTTTTCCATACATACGGTGAGGAGACTTTCACCATTCTCATTTATACTTTCATCAACAAACGTTCCCAATATCCTTTCATAACCAAGCCTCCTCACCCCAACCCTTCCATTAAAATCTCCTAGCATAATAATATTTTCATTTCCCTTACACTTCACTAACACCATCCTTACCATTTCCCAAAACTGCTCTCGGATATAAGTGGGCTTAGACATGTCTGGGGCGTAGACCCCTAACACGAACAAATTCTATAAGCCCACTTTCATTCGTATCCATAGCAGTCTTGGGCTTACACATTCATACTCTTTCACACATTGGCCCATTCTTTCTGAAAGGATGATACCTACTCCCTGGCATGCCCGCTCGATCTCGTCTACACCAGACCAGTATGCGGTATACATGCCATGTGTAGTGACATCCTTCCCCTTCCTTTTCGTCTCATTTACGCATAACACATCTATTCCTCTATCATACATCGTATCGCATACTTCATCCATTTTATCATTCATTGCCCCACATACATTCAACGTTGCCAGACGGGCCTCTGCAATCCAGGTTTCGCCTCTCCGGGAGACAGAACGTGACGGGTGGCGAACCTCGTCGCCGGTTTTCCTCCCGGATATATAAAATATGCAAAGTAATACTGACACTCGTGCGCAGCGATAAAGGTTTATTTAGTTGTTTATGATATTTTTAATACTAAGTTGACGTTACGTACCCGGCACTAGCGCCATCTAGTGTCGGGGACGAGAGCGAGGGGGAGCTTTCCAGAAAATGAACCTTAAGCTATAACAATACTAACATTTCACAATTTAAAAGATCTGTAATTGCTACGCTATATATGTAAATTTCACCAAGATTATTAAAATATGTTTTTAACTGACACTGATACTTTTTGACTATGATTTTTTATACTTCTTTTTATGTTTTGTTTTGTTGTGCACACTTTATTGGATTATAGAATAGTTATAATATATATTTATTGCTGTATTATGCCTTTATAAAAAATAAAATAAAACGTAAAAAATAAATACAATCTCACCATATATACAAAATTTAAATAGCAGATAGTAGAAAAAGAAAGTAATATTCATTTGACAGATGCATATCAGTTACAAGGAAACATGCTGTAATGTAAGACTAAAGTAAACAAAACACTGGCACATAAGAAAAGAAAAATATATGCACTCACACTGTACTTACACATCCACACACGTTTCGGAAATGTGAAAGTCATTAAATAAATTGGAAAAGTTTCATTGTATCCTCTATTTCGAGAAGTAGCCGCATTTATCAAATGCTGTCACCGAAGTGGGCCACTGTGTCGCATGACTGTCTTATAAAAATGCCGCTTCTTATGTTAGTTTGTTGGTCCCATTTAAGTGTACGGGTTAAGGTGTTTCTTTTAATTTTTGTGATTTTATGTCTTTTGATAGCACTTCGTCGTTTTTTAAATGAATTAAATTTAAACACTTGGTACATATGCACATTTTATTATACGAGTATGCATATTTCATGAATATTGAATTCAAAATAAGAACTGGTATCGTTGTTATAGTAATAATCGCGGTACCAGGTGTGGTTAGGCAAGATAACTTTCTGAGGTTGTTAATGCTACAGGAAACTATAAAAATATATGGGAATGACATATCCGAACGTTACGTAACTCGGTCATTTTATTCATTTTATATTTGTTAACCCCCAAAGGAAAGGGCTATTATAAGTTGGTAGTGTCTGTGTATCTATATGACTATCTGTGCCATCACAGCTCCTGAAAATATGAACTGATTTTGATTAAGTTTGTTTCGTTTGAAAGGTGTCTCAATCGAGAGTGTTCTAGCTAAGTTTCAAGAAAATTTGTTCAGACTTTTGAAGATAATCTACTTTTTTTCAGCGGTTTTTAAACATTTTAATTTAAGTTACAAGTATATAGCGTTACCGACAGTATATTTTTATCTTGGCAAACCCCACAGATGTTTTACTGGGTTTTTCTATGAACCTCTAGCCGTCTTCTATGATACCCATAAGTTACAATAGGGTGATGGAGTGGAGTATATTGCACCACCTAAATATTATACCCCATAAACGATTTTTAATAATCACTGGTCACAATTGGAATAATCAATAAAAAATTGAATTTAAAGTCGAAATGGCAACATTGATAAACGTTTTGATATAAAAAAATAAAAAAACATTCATTTGAAGTTTGTGTGTAGTGTACGCGGCGGCAATTTGTTGATGGAATTGAAGCGTTCCGCATTTAAAATATTTATATTCAACAAATAGTTTTGAATGTTGTTTTAAATAAAGTAGACGTGAAAATTCTACAAGCTTTTAGGTTATGCTGCAATAATGCAAATATAAATAATGTATGTTTTGACCTATATATTCGTATCCCACATATAAAAAAATAATGTTTGTTCATTTGTATTTTATGCGCCATACCGTTATCAGATTGCGTGAACATTATAAGCATTTTATAATATATTGTATAGTAGGTAGTATGTATAACGTACCGAAAAAATTATTTTAAAGTTATACAATCATTCAATTTCAATGAATGTATGATCATACCTAATTAAGCAATTTAACTATTCAAAATCTAAAACGACACTTCTACGATTATTTCTTCTGCGGCAGCAAAGCTCCAAATACCAGCCAGTCTTTATTTTTATTTTTTATAGTATTGGGTGACAAACGAGCACACGGGCCACATGATGGTAAGTGGATGCTGTGGCCCATAGACATCCACATTTATCCTCAATTAAGTATCAAAATGCAAATACGTTGTCACCCTTGAGGATTAAGCAGGAATGCCTCGATTCCAATAAAAAGGGTCATCGGTTCTCTACACTCACCATACGAAACACAGCAGTATTACACTGTTATTTTACGCTGGTATTCTGTGAGAGCGTGATTCTGCCCCAGTAGAGCCAACCCATTCATGCTACAACTATAATATAGCTGCAGCGTGACAAGTCTATACGTGTACTATTATGGTATAAAATTCCGGTGTGCGTGTGTTCGTAATTTTTCTACTTTTAATTGTTTTTGATCAAATTTTATGAGGTACTTATACGGTAAACAGATGGTTCTTATGTAGAGTTAGACTCGGTAGGTGGCGCTATTGTCGAGATCTAGAAATCAACTGTGCGAATTTTGGACGTATCACTAGTTAATTGTAAAAATAATGTTGTGTGTTTAAGTCATGTGTTTAAATTATAGTTTGAATTTGTCACTGAATTTTAATGTAATATTTCTCTAATCATGTGCAATACAACTTTGTCTCGCTGATCTTACATACCTGCTCGATAAATCAAAAAAGACCAAATATGATTTCAGCAAATCACATTTTAAATTTAAAATTAAAATAATTCGTAGTATAGACTTACCTGGCATCGACCGTCAATGCACATGTCCAAACTGCCAGGTCGACACCGTGTTCCGTCCGACACCCGCGCAGCAAGCACCGCTACCACCACCCGATCATCGTCGTCCAAGGACACCGTCTATCAAAATATACATATTTTTTTACACAACAGACGATGAGTTTAGGTCATCATCATCATTATCATTACAGCCCTTCACAAGTCCACTGCTGAACATAGGCCTCCCCCAAGTAATGCCACAAAGCACGGTCCTCACTCAAAATCTCAGATCTCCCGGAAACGATGTTGCCACACTCAGTCCTCAGCTTTTACTGGCAGACAGATCTCTGGCAAAGACTTTGGAGCCCTGGTTCCGCTCGATCGCTTCTTTAATACGAGCAGTATTAAAGTTGCGTAAGTCTCGCCGCATGCATTTGGAGATCTGTCTGTTCAGTTTGAACATGAGTTTAGCTATGTAGATATAAATATATTATCATCATCATGATAGCTCCTCACAAGTCCACTGGTGAACGTAGTCTATGTTAAGGCCACAAAATACAGTCCTAAGCCATCTGCATCTATCGCCTTTCTGCATCTCTTATCACGTCGTTACTACATGTATAAATAAAAATATAAATACATTGATGTCACCCTGTAGACTAAATTGGAATGCTTCATTTCCAGTAAAAAGGGTTTCCAGTTACAATACCGTCCACTCGCAATACCGGACCCAATAAAATCTGATATTACACGCTGGTAATCTGTAAGAGCGGGGTTCTTCCCCGCTCAAGCTAATCTATTTGTACTACAACCACAGTATAGTTGTAGTAGAGCCATGCGTTCTACCAAGTATTTAATACAATAATATATCTACTTGCTGATAAAGACTCGACATCTGTTAGCCTGAGGGATGGCGTAAAATACGTTACATGTCATTAGTTTTTTCAGGTTTGCTTCAATAACAGTTCCGTCGGCATTGAGTTCTAGAAAGTGAAAAACCGAAAGCAATTAATTAGGGCATTTAGCTGACGTTTTATTGAGTGCCTCTACTGGAAGCACTAATTGAAAAAGAAATAGAATCTACTCCGGGAAACTTTTTCTCGAGCATCGAACTGATGTTTATTTTATTGCAAAATACAATTGGTGAAAAGTTAAAAGCTTCAAGTATGTTTTCGCGTTTTGATTTTGCATTTCATGAATTAAATAAGTGGAAGAGAGGATAGTAAAGTTTCATTTAATATATTACAAAAGTTTTTTTGATTTCCCCAATGAAATTCTCACCCTTTTACTTATAATACACGCGCGCCCCTTTTAATTAGAATTTGTTTATGTCTGTAATTTTTCATAAATTTTTAAGTCATTTTTGCTTTGCTGCGCATAATTGTTTTACGTAATTTTGACAAATAGCCACTTTGATCAATTGTAAAATCTTTTGCTTGACCCCCACGAGACAGGCCATGCCTAGTGTGGGAGTCACAGAACTTATTGTATTTTGACTACGTGTTTTCTGGTAAATAAATAAATTTGTTATTATTTATTATTATTATTATTATAAGAGACGACGGGAGAGAGAGAGAGAGAGAGAGAGACAGAATTTGTTAATGAATGAGTTAGAAGAGAGAGGAATCATTAAAACGCCTAGCAATATTATTAAATATCCACTAAGATGAAAGGGAGAGAAAAAGATAGACAGTAATTGAGCAAATGAGTAAAAAGAGAGCACAATCATTAGTTTATCTAGAAAATTTTGAATATACGCCAAGGTTTTTGTGGTTTCCTAGAGAATATTAGATAAAAATTCTATGTAATTTTTCAAATTTATGGCAAAAGTATCTCCTTTTATAAAAGAGGATATTACCGGAGCATACATAAACTGGCAATAATAGTTGTAGATAAAAGTTTCAAATGCAATGTATTATGTACTTTAAACCTATCTATATATACAACATACACAATACATATTATGCGTTTTGGAAATTTCAATAAAAACTGCTTATTAACATCAGCTTACTATACACTGTATAGCAAAGTTACAACCCATACGTCCAACTGTTAGGCACTGGTTTTGCTCTAATTTACGAGAGGGTTATAGTGCAAGGAAATGTCCGCCGTGCAGTTCCTGAGAGCCATGACTCAACATGTGGTAACACAGATTTCATTAGTGCCGGTGAGGATTTAACCCGGGTACACTCCTCCTCCGGCTACACATTTAACCTAACTTAATATTGCAAATGACTAAACCTTAATAGCTAAAGTATTATTCAGGGAAGCGAAGGTAAACGAGCTTTCGGCTCACGTAAAGGTAAGTGACTGCCGTCGCCCATGATAATCTGCAATACCAGGGAAACTGCAGTTGAGTTGCCGGCCTTTTGGAAATAGTAAGCTCTTTTATTAGTTACGAAGCTTTTTTATATGTATATGACGCAGACATATGAAATATGATAAAATTCCAGACATTAGTCTGAGCGAGATTAGAATGGCTCTGCAGCACCATAAAAATGGCAAAGCTCAGGCGATTATGGAATTACAGCGTAGAATCTGAAACCGAGTGGAAAACCAGTAGTTAAAGTCCTTTAGAAGCTCTTTAATTGATTTTTCGTGGTGAGACTACTCTGGAGATATGGAGCAGAAGTGCGATGGTCTTATTTTTGAAGAAAGGTGACAACACGCTCTTGAAAAACTATAAATCGATTTCCCTTTTGAGCCGCGTTTACGTGCCGTTTTCAAGAGATGACTCTTTTTTTGCTCTTTATTTATGCTTGCGCGGAAGACGATTTCCGTCTTCCACGCAAACTCGACGAATTCCTACCTACCGAAAAATTACGATGAATTTCCCAAAATACAGTTTGTGGAAGAAGTACAATCACTCAGTTTGTAGAGAGTGTTTTTATGCTTTCATTGGCACCAAATATTGTGATAGTGTAACTATACTGAGAAATGACAACACGTCAATTCGCCAAAAAGCCATACACTTCGAAAAATTATACAGAAGACCTATGATCACAGTTTGCAACTTTGCCTTGCTCATGTGGACTATGATTCCGTCGAAATTTATGTGGTGCTGCAGTTCCTTCAGCGGTGCCAAGCCATCTGTCAGTATATCGAAGTGCTGAAATGTTTGTACAGTAGGGCTACGATGGCTATGCGTGTACAGAACCAGAGTACAAAACCTATCCAACTGCAGGGAGATATAAGACAGGGTGACGTAATATCCCCGAAACTCTTCACTGCTGCATTGGAAGACGTTTTCAAGCTCCTGGACTGAAAAGGATACGGCATTAACATCAATGGTGAGTATATCAATTACTTTCGATTTGATGACAATATAGTCCTTATAGCACAATCGCTGAAAGACCTCAGAACTACACCCTCTAACCTCAATAGTACCTTCCAATGGATAGGTCTCAAAATGAACATGGACCAAACAAAGATCATGTATAACGTTCATGTCACACCTATGTAGGCAATTGTTGGGAGCACTAAGTTCGAAGTGTAGACGAGTATATTTATATGGGACAAATAGTCTATCTAGGTAAGTCCAACTTTGACCGAAAAGTCAATCGAAGAATTCAACTCCAGCCGAGTTTGAGACAGCGTTCGGGATATTACGATACATCTTCTCGTCAGACATACCTTAAAATCTTAAAACTAGATTGTACAAACAGTGCGTTTTGCTGATGATGACTCAAGGATCTGGAACGTCGTCTATCTGACCGTGTAAGGACACAAAGTCCCCCAGCGAGCTATGGAGAGGACTTTGTTCGAGGTTCCTCTGCGTGATATAGTTAGTCGTAAAACCAGTGTAACCAACGTAGCCCAACGGATTAGTAAGCGGAAGTGGTAATGGACTGGCTATATAGCTTGAAGACCCGACAACCGATGGTGAAGAAACGTTCTGGAGTGGCAGCCTCGAACTGGTAAGCAAAGTGTAGGATGGCTCCCTACTAAATGGAGTGGTGACGTGCAGGGTGTCGATGGATGCAGGTGGTTCAACACGTGTGGCGTCGCTTGGGGGAGGCCTATGTTCAGTAGTGGACTTGTGAAGGGCTGTAATAAAGTAATAATATGATGATGATGATCTTAATTACAGGACACTATTCATAATATCCCAACAATTAAAAAATATCCAATATAAGAGGATAATGTTCATAACTTTTGAAAATATTTAATTTGACCTGGCTTTATGAAAAATGTCTTTAACCGACTGGACAATATAATATGAAAATGTATTTTAATTAAAATAACCATTATCTACCCATCCATAACATGCTTCAAAAGTCCATTAGAAAAAACTGAGACTGTCTCTACTGCAAATTTGTCAAAAGCACACAAGTACGTGTCGTGTAAAAACAGCGATATAAGACGTGTTTGTAGCAAGACAAAAAAAGGTCGAAAATAATTGATAGAATCAGGCGTTACTTTTCGGAAATCCATTATAACAAAGATATTGATTAATTTGCAACCTTCCGCTAACTAAATACAATGATGTGTCTTACCTGGATTGAAGAACACCTCGCGCTCTCCTTCAATTGCGTGCACTAATACCGTCACCACTACTCCCAACACCACTACTCCCAACACCACTACTTCCGGCACCACTATTTCTACACCACTATTCCAGGAAAGACACCATCGACGATAATACGACATGTGTTTCGCCTCTACACGAGGCATCCTCAGGTGATGTAGACTCTACGGCAGCTGACCACTAAGTCTAAGCCCCGCTTTTAAATGCCTGGAGACGGTGAAAAATAATATTCAATAATTTACAACGTGACTTGATGCAAATCTGGGTAGAATTATCTTGTGTACGGCACCGCAAAAGTAGGATGACACAATAATAAATGTCAACCTACCGGTTCTGGTCTTTGACCAGAGTGCTGTGGCGTGCCCCTGCAGGTTAAGGCGCAAGGTTCAGCATCGTCGCGATGTGATGTCCAGTGGAAAAGCTCCCCTCCGTATGGAGTGCTGTCGTGAGCGCTGCATTGTTGTTCTCTCCACACATCGTCTTCTAACAGTGTGATGTTACCTCGGCAGGGCTGTAAGAGACAGAAAAGTAAGTGGTCTGACAAATAAAAAAATATCGTAGCGTTCATTGATAATACTCGAACTTACGCTCGTAAATTTAATTCATTATTTTTTATCTCAGGAGGATTATGAAGCACCCACCCCAAGTTGCTCCTGTGCGTGATGACAGACCTCACACGTCCGCGATTTTTTTATTCTTTATATGCAAGTTTCCTCAACATATTTGACTCTAACGCCGAGTGTTTTTTTATTATTTGCGAGTAGCTATGCAGGTCTAGGGAAAAAGACCAGTATCACTGCGACCTAAAAGATCTATTGTGATCGCTGGTATGGCTATAGTTCACTGCTAAGACCTATGTCTTCAATGAATAGAAGGAGTTGCTTAGCTGTGGGCAACTCCACTTCTTCTGGGCGGAGCAGATAGTTTAACGCCGAGGGTTTTCTTTTAAATTTTACATTCAAATTTTAATTGTAAAATTTTTTGGTCAATTTTACAATTAAAATATGAGTTCGGGGTCGATACTCACCGGAATTGCCATTAAAACTATTAATTGCGATTGTAAGTGCTGATTAACAAGTAACCGACGCCAAAAGAAAACATTTCTTCACGATGTTTTTCTTCGGCGTTGATCACGTGGTAAATCCTGCATCCCTGAGAAATAATATATTTTTTCATTGTTAAGTCATGTAAGTCTAGCAATGCGGCTCGTTCTCTTGGAAATAGAAGGCTGTAACTAACTTAGTTAAAGATATAAATCTGTGGTAAAGTAAGGAGTGACTTTTTCCCAACCAGTAATACTCTCACTGTTTTGACGCGGTTAGAAGGCTAAGGTGTCAGTATTATTATAGTGCATACTACTTGATATTTTCCTTCCTATATTATTTAATAACTTTTTGGTTGTTTGGAAGAAATTAAAGTAATATGTGTATACTTTGTTAATCTTTCCGTAGTGCACAATACAGAGTTTGTACTCGTATAGCAGTGTGTTCTGTATATTACAGGCTTCGAATATCTCTGTCCTTGAAAATAACAATGAGTCTGTTGTTTTTTTTAACATTTCTTTGAAGGGTCGTAGGTCAATACAACTCATTATTCATGATTTAAAAAGATATTAGATTTTTATTTTATTTTTACGGTAGTAGAAATATGTTCGAAAACTGTTAGGTAATATGAAGGACACTGACAGAATAACAGCGCTGTGACAGTGGCAGCACTGCTGCAGCATCATGCAAAGACGTATGCCTTTTCATTGTTGCAATCCGATGTTTTTCTTCTCTCTATTGTGCATTGACATGCTCGGGGTTTCTCTGCGTGTTAGACTTAGAAACGAGTATATTCGTAGTGGTACCAAAATAACAGACATAGCCCAACGGTTTAGTAAGCTAGTGGCAATGAGCTGGCCATATAGGTAAAATAACCGACAACCGATTGGGATGAAAGATGCTCGAGTGGTAGCCTCGTACCGCTAGGTGAACTGTAGGGCGGTCCTTTACTAAACGGAAGAATCGGATAGTGCCTTCTCAAGATATATTTTAGTTCCACGCATAAAAAACCTAACACACTTTTTCTGGTAAATGTTTATAACATGGACGAAGAAAAATATAAAAGTCTTATATCGTCAAAACATCTACCAGGAAAAAGCACCACTCAACTTTTTATATTTTTCTTATTATTTCTGATTCTTGAATTTACTATGACAAGGAAAAAGCGTTCCATGTGTTTGATTCTCTAAATACCGTGAAAAGCATTTCAAAGTTAATAAGAGCGACAGTGCTCGAGCAGAATTTCTTTCAAATTTCTTTCAAAATTACTTCGCCGGTTTTCAGCCAATTTCACTTGGCAACCGTTCCAGTTACAGTGTGTATACGTCAAATCTGGGTAAAAGTTAAGAAGTTTTTAGGGTTCCGTTATAATATAAATAATATAAGCACTCCCTCTGTCAACTTAATCGCTGTTTTTGGAGATGTAAAAAGTATGAGCGATTAAATTCTTCGTAATTTCAGACTTGGTGTTGAGTAAATGTATTATATTCCAATAGAAAAAAAAAACAGTTTTATATGGTTCCGCCACTCTACGCTAGATGCCGCTCACCTAATTAATACGCACTATCGAGTTGTTGTTTTAAAAATTACAGAGCGTTCGGAATAAATGTAAGTATCACTAAATATGTTGTTTGTTTATTTATTTATTTATTTGTCAGAATAAGGTAATACATAATGGTCTTAATCTAATACAGAAGTTCACTTATTCTGCCTCTTTTATAGGCGTACAAATATTAAATCGTCTTAATTTAATTTCGACATAAAATTTTAATACAAAACTATAAAAAATTAATTATGGATAAATGTTATACAAATTGTCATAAATGTGTTAAAGAGAAAATCAGTAATAATACATGTCATCGTTAAATTGCTATATATGTCACCTATATTTACTATTATAATTATATTAATTAAATAATAATTTTACAAACAAAATTAGTTATTGAAATATTCAAAAAGACTATAAAGACACTTGCTGAGAAGCCATTCTATCAAGTTTCGTTTAAACGTTTGACTTGTTTCATTCTTTATTGTGTCTGGCAGACGATTGTATACACAGATTGCCATGTAGAAAGCATTCCTGTTAAAGAATGAGGTGCCTGATTTAGGCAAGAATAATTTATTTTTGTTCCTAGTATGCCTCTGTGTTACATCAGACTGTTTTATAAATAAGTTTAAATTTTGTCTTACAAACAAACAGATATCCCTCACATACATACACGGTAAGGGAAGAATGTTTAATTTCTTAAAATGGGGTCTACAACTCTCACAGTACCCCAAATTGCATACAGCGCGAATACATTTTTTTTGTACTACAAATGCTTTCTGGCTATCGGTAGAGTTACCCCATAACAATAACCCGTAGCTTAGAACTGAGGAAACATAACCATGATATGCACATAGAGCTGCCTCTCGCGACACTGTTCTCCGTAATCGTCTTAGAGCATATAGAAATCGGTCTAATTTCTTACAGATTTTAAAAATGTGCTCCTTCCAATTGCATTGTTCATCAAGTGTGAAACCCAAAAATACTGCAGATTGTACCTTTTCTATCGATTTATTATTAAATTTAATGTTAAAGTCTATTTTTTTTGATTTGTATGTCGTAAATTGTATTATTTTTGTTTTGTCAAAATTAATATTAAGGTTATTTAATTCAAGCCATTTGACTACGTCACGAATAGATTCATTGATTTGATTATTAAAATTATTTATGCCATTAGCCTTTATTATTAGGGTTGTATCATCGGCGAATGAATGCATTTTTCTTTCGTAGCTTGAGGTAGGTCATTGATATAAATTAAAAATAAAAGCGGGCCTAAAATACTACCTTGTGGAACACCATATTTAATCATTTTATAATCTGATCTATATGATTATTTTTGTATTTGTTTGTTTTTAGGCACCATCTTACAGATTTCAGTGCATTGCCTTCTGTCTTTCAAATAACTAGCTATCCAATTATTTGCTTCACCACGAATACCATATTTTTCTAATTTTTGAAGCAAAATGTCATGTTCATTGTGGTCAAAGGCCTGAGTCATGTCTAATAGTACTGCTACTACAGGTATCCTTTGAGATATGCTTTCGGTGACAAATTTAATAAGATGAAAGCATGCAAGTGTAGTTGAATTTTTCTTTACAAATACAAACTGCTGCCGATTTAATATATTATGCTTTGTAAAGAATAATTTTAATCTATTACACATAGCTTTTTCAAATATTTTCGATAACACAGGCACGAGAGTAACTGGTCTATAATTATTTACCCTTGTCACCTTTCTTAAAAAGTGGTTTTACAATTACTTGTTTTAACTTCGATGGAAAGATGCCTTTACAAAACGATAAATTTATCAAAAAGCTTAAAATTTCAGATATGCTATTTGCACACGCTTTTAATATTTTCGTTAAAATTTCGTCGTATCCGACAGATTTACTATTATTAAGATTTATTATTATTTTACGAACCTCATAACAATCCGTAGGATATAGAAAAATTGTTTTGTCATTCGTTACAATCTGTTTAAGAAGATTATGATTATTGTCGCGTTTTGTAATATTACCTATAAAGTGGTTATTAAAAACTTCCGCAATTTTTTGTGCATCAGTGTACTTAATGTTATTATACGTTATGTAATCTACGCCCTGAGAGTGTGGTTTACACATTATATTGTTTTTGATAACATCCCAAGTTGCTTTGCATTTATAGGAACTGTTGCCTATATATTTATTATTTACATTTTTTCGGGCAGTGTGGATACATGTTTTCAATATGCGACTATAAGCATTGTATTTTTGTTTATTTAGATTTTTATTATCATTGCCATGAATATATTTTAAATACAGATTTCTTTTTGTGATTGTTGCCTCTTTGATCCCTTTAGTAATCCACCGCGCTCTCATATTTGTATTTACTATTTTTATTCTAATGTTTGGAAAGCACAAATTATAAAAAAACTAAAAATAGATCATGAAAATAGTCAAAAGCTACGTCAATATCTTCTATTGTATATATGTCAGACCAGGATAATGGCCGCATGCAATGATTAAACTTAATTATATTACTTTGACAATAATCTTTTCTATATTCAAACCAGTATGTAGTTATATGTTTTTCAGACTTATTTACGCTGAGGGTCTGCGCTGTTTCATGATCTGACAAACCCAGAAAATGAATACCCGAATCAGCTTGTGTTATGTTGCTAGCAATATGATCAATACACGCTTTATTTCTAGTAGGTATTCTTATGTGAAAGTCAATATTATGATTATTTAATATACTTGTTAATTCAACTGTTGGTTTAGTCTGTTTTAATATATCTATATTCCAATCACCCGTTAATACTAATTTAGTGCTCCCTTTTTTTATTAGTCAGTTTTTGTAATAATATATTAAGTTTTTCAAAAAATGCTGGCAATGTTTCAGGTTTAGGTATTCTATATATGCAGATAATAATCGTGTTTAATT